TGAGACAGAGCCAGACCATTATTATTCATGTCTGCTACAATTCTTACCTCTCAGAACAAAATGTCTTGCTTAGGCATCGCTATGTGGTTTCATCTCGCGGCGTTATTTAGTCCAGGTGAGGGTATAATGTAATCTCTTTTGCTCCCCAGGTAGATGACGCTGTTATCTTCTTGAGCGAGAACCCCTACACATACGCTCGCCCTCACACGAGAGCAAATTACGTTCTGGAGACAAAAGTGTACAATCTGCAGGGTCCCCCGTTAGTTCCAAAACCGAGATGAGAAACGTTCGGTCGCAAAGCGGAGTTAAGTATGACTTCATTATAGTAGGCCTATATATATATATATATACACATACACCAGACACGCGTGTTTCTGCTCACAGTCTGGCGGGCTCACGCAAGAACTCTGCACTTGACCCCATTCTTCGGAAGCTTGTTTAGAGGGCGTGTTCCCCCGCTTTGAAAAGTTTTGTTAACAACAGAACAGGGTGCCCTGTTGCTGCTTTCAAAGCGGTTTAAAGAAAAACCACACACCAAAAAAAAAAAAAAATTAATAAAATAACACCCAAAAATGACGAAATAATCGCATGGGGGAAACAGATTAGCTTAACAGAGGGCACCAAACCGGAGAAGAGAAGAAAGGACAAGTTTGGTGGGGAAAGTGGAGGTATATTCCAATGTGAGGGGGGGGGGGGGGGAGGAAGTGGAGTAAAAATTTCAAACCTTACATCAGCCTGGAATTTATCTGGATTAATCATGATGACTTGCGAACCATTCATTGCCTCCATTTTTAGTTTACTGTTTCGTCAAAAAATGAAATGTTGTGGGGATAAGTGCAAGGGAAATTAGAAGTATGCGAAGGGGACATTTTTATGTTTGACTATTGCAGAATTTAAAACAATTTTGCTTCCTCTTCTTTCAGGGTTATTTTTGGCCATAATTCAATGGCGCTCTCACAGGTTCACAGGAGTTTCTCGCCAATTTGATGTCGCAAGGACGGTTGACTGGATTGTGGAAATGTTTCAAATAGTATCGCTGTAAGCTTAATTAGAGTCTACAAATAATCAAAATTAAATGTGTTTTATACGTGTGGCTCCCAAATAATTGAATGTGCGATCTGCACCTTCAAGAGCTAATAAGATACAGTTACTGTTTTTGTTGTCGTTGTTGATGACGTTGCTGTTTTAACTCTGTCGGTATAAAGAGTTATGGTTTACTGCATATTTTCTGTTTTCTAGCTCTGCTTTGCTTTTTTTCCATGCGGGGCAGGAGGATGGGGATACATCTTGTCCTTATTTATGTTAGTTTTGTCATGGGTGGGTGTAAAAGGGGGCAGGGGGGGGGGTTGCAGTTGTTGGTTGTTGTTTTGTTTTTTCAACTCTGGGAACAGGCCATGATCCAGCTGTAATCTAGGCTATCTCCAAGCAGGTTTCGATTACCAAAAGCGTCTTTCTTTCTTCCCCAGTTGCACCAGAAAGTGTAACGTAAAGCGGAAAAACAGCTCAACGTCAAAAAAGTGAAACGTAAGGTAAAACAACAGCTCAGTGTCAAAAAGTGGAACGTAAAGTAGAACAGGGGCTCAACTTGAAAATATCACGCGCTGCCGAGTACTGTCGACTCGCAATTTATTGTTGCTCGAACCAGACATACATACACTGCTTTAGGATGTTTCACGATTGTTCAACAAACAACCATATTTATAAGAATCACCCGCATATGGACTTCTCATGGCCAAAGAAACACTTACACTCCTCACAAAATGGCTCCTCACATAAATGTCTTTATTACGGTGCATAGATCTAAGTATAAAACATGACCTTCAGCAACTATTTGAAGTTGTTTCGGTTTCCTGAAAAAGTACAAATCATGTGGTAGACAATCGGTTTGTGATAGTAACTCTAGAAATAATCCGGTCACAGTGTCAGTATATTATAAGCATTCCTTTCTCATCGCACATGGGTGACAGAAAGCACAGCTCTATCTCGAAAGGGGGGGGGGGGGCGAAGAGGAAGCTCGAGAGGGAAACTCGCTAGCCTAGCAGTCAACTTCTACAAAGGTCCTGTGGCACGTCCCCATGAACGCATAAAAAAGACGCTGCTCACCTGCAAGAGGTGCGTCTGAAATAAATGTGATAAGCGTTGTTTTCCGGTTGAGTTTTGTTTTGTGTGGGTGTTGTTGTTGTTTGTTTGTTTTTTTCGGTTGTTTTTTGTTTTGTTTGTTTTTTGGGTGTGAGGGGGGATGTTGTAAGGGTCAGCGAAGAAGATAGGGACTAATTATTATGACAAACGCCTCCAATTTTGTGTCAGAAGGGATTCTTACTTTCCCATGCAGGAAGGGGTAAAGAAAAGGGGGAGGAGGAAAAGGGGGGGGGGGTGGAATTATCACTTCTACATTTAACAAGTGTCACCAGAAATTATGACTCACAAGACGGGTCTGTCGCACGACGATATTTTTGCGTGGTACAAGACGCAATGAAATGCATTAGGACAGGCCGAAGTCTTGTGAGCCCCTTCAGAACTGATTTCTTTAGGGTGGGGTGGAGATTCTACTGCTCTACTAATACAACGTACGAGCCAGATGGCGCCCAAAAAAGATGGGACCAGGACATCGTTGAACGACTGGAGACAAGTGTAGGCTCTGCTGGACGCCTGGCAGTGGGAGAAAAGCTGAAGTCTGGGTGTCATTGCTCTGAAATTACAGCTACACACTACACTGGGTGAACAGCTTTAAGAGACAGAGAGCTGAACAGAACAAAAAGTAAGTTCCAAGAAAATTCGCCCCCCCCCCCCTTTTTCACCCTTTTCCCCCCCCCGACTGAATGGGGCACGAAGCACCCCCACCCCCACCCCCCACCCCCCTCTGAAAAAATTTCTTAACTACCGATAACTTCTTATCCTAAACCTTTATCCCAACCCTCTAAAAATCAATAGTATGTCTCGTGTAAATTACTTGCCATTAGCAGCAACAAAGGGACAGCACCGGCGAACACCAGAACATTCGTATCTTTTCAGTTTGGTTTGGTGTACTTTGCACTACCTCTTCCGTTTTTAACACTCCCCTGGAGGATAGTTAATTATGAACTTGCTACTGACGCGCATGCTGGTCATGCAATAACGCTTGAAGACTAGCTGTTTTTGGTGTAGTTAAAAAAGAATCATTATTATCTTCGTCAATCATACAAAACTTTTCAAATCGTTTTATTTTAACTAAAACTTTAAGAGGCAGGCAACAACATGCGTATTGTGAAATAAGGATACGTATTTCTGAAATTACTCACAATATTATTGCCTTTAGTCAGACGCCGATCGGACACGTTCTTGAAGGTTTAATCCTTTTAAACAAGCTAGTTCTCAAATCATTCGGCTAAAAGATGGCGCCATAAAATATTATGTATTGTTGTCGTATCTCAGTTGGGACTTCTAAACAACGAGAGGAATCTCATTTTTACTTTTCACCAAATGTCTTAAGGAATTAACCGAACAGTCATAATAATATGATGGTAACTCGTGCGCCTAACCGTCCAGGTGTGGAACTTCATCAGCGTAGGTCATTAATTGACTTTCAAGGAACACCTGCTGCATTTCGAACTACAGAGTAACAGAGAGACAAACCGAAAGAGAGAAAGAGAGAGGAGGGGGGGGGGGGGGGAGCAGAAAAAAGAGAAGCGAAGCAGTCCTTGAGAAACTATGGCCCAGCGTCTCAGGTACTGCCAGACTGTTCATGAATCATTTTGTTGAGGTAGTGAACAATTATAATACAACGGGCCTACATTTTAACCTGAGTTTGTTCTGGGTCACAGGCTG